CCTTCCCCCCCCCCCCCCCCCCCCACAGTGGAAAGGGAGTCTTCAGCTCCTTGGACTGGTTTTGCATGAATTTTTGGTAGACACTCACTCTTTGCCCCTTGTAGCACCAACAAGAGCAGAAGGCTTAGAGCTGGGAAGCTGCTGCCCAGTACAGGCTGAGACTCATGACAAGGAACTGTAGATGGCTTCAGGTGTGCCCATGTTTGGGAGGCCTGGTCCTGGGCTGTCGCTGGCCTGTGACCATGCCTTGGCAAATCTGCTGTACCTCCATATTATCTCAGGGCTCTGCCTGGGATTATATGTACATGACTGCTGCAGATATCTGCAGCCCCTGCTCTTCTGTCAATTAGCGCTGCCCCAGCTGCACCCCTTCAATCCCAACGTGAAGAATTGCTGCTGTCTCAAGCTGGGATGTCCCCTGTGTGGAGGCTGCTTCTAGTGCTAAATGGTAGCTGAGATCACAGTTTGGACTCAATTGCATTTCTACATGTGGCTTAAAATGTATTTGCCTGGAGATGGAAGGGAAGCTTATTAATCATAGAATCCTAGAAAATGAGGGTTGGAAGGGACCTCAGGAAGTAATCTAGTCCAACCCGCTGTTTTTCTTCCTCCTTCTAAAAGGGCACTGAGGATTTTGTTCTCATGGGAGAGTTGTATTTGTGGATACACTGGAGATCCAACATTCTCATCTTCCTGAGGGGTCATAAGGCTGTCTTTATAACCCCAGACTTGTTCCAAGTGAGGGGATTGCAATGATCTTTTGTAGCACAATGGGCTTTTTGCAGGGTAGCAGTACTCCATGTGTTTTACATGATTAAAATGTTTGCTTCTCTGTCTTGCCAGCACAAATCCCAGCTATAGGGGTCAGGAAGCAGCTGAGAATTTGCTTCCAAGGCAGGAGAGCATGTGCTTTCCATGCTGTACCCAGCATGCACCAAAGTTGAGCCCTGCTTTGTAGATGAGGAGAAGTGAGCTCACACCAGGACTTCTGTAGTCGTGGGAATAGATTCACAGACCCTACTGTGATTTCCTGGGGACCTGCTGTTCCAAAGATGCTCCTTATCCATATGGGTGGCTTTTTTTGTTGTTGTTTTTTGTCTAGCTTGTGGGTTGCAGAATACAAAGGATCTTGGTGGCCGTCTGGCTAGACTGAGGTTGGGAAACTTGTTTGGCTTTGCTAATTCTTGTTTCTGGCTGTTTCCCCAGGGCCCTGGGCTGAGGATGAGGAGTGGACAGACAAAGCCAGAAGAGTGATCATGGAGAGGATTGGACTGGCCACAGCAGGGTAAATACCTTGATGAGCTTGGCCTTCCTGAACATGTTTGCCATGATGCACCCCAGTTCTCTGTGGGCTTGTGAGCAAGTAGAAGGTCTTCCTATCCTGGGTATGGCCCCACAGGGAGGGGAAGGCATTCCCCTGTACCAGACACGGGCCGAATGCTTCAGAGGTATATGAAAGAGAGAAAATGAGTTGAAGCCTCTCTCCTGCAGTCTCAGCAGCCTTCTGAGGGTGCAGGGAGAGTTCTTTGTTTAAATGAAGTCTCCCTGAATAGCTGTGTACCAGTTGAAGTATGGGTGAGATGAGCACGCTTGATCTTTTGCTTGTATTAGCTAGTGTGTCCCTAGCTATAGTAACACTTGAGACAAGTTAGGGCCTTTGACTTGTATCCTGTGCTACTGAAACAGGCCTCTGAGGGAGCTTGCATACCAGGCCCTGGTATGATTGGAGAAGGTGCCACAGATATGGCAGTATGACAGCCCAGAGCACAGGCGCTGGCAATGCAATGTGTGCACTCTGATTGTTCAGCTGGTTGTTTTATCAGCCACTCATTCCCCTCTGTAGGACTGCCCAGGTGCACTTTGCCATCCAGGATAGTGCAGCAAGAGCCAGTTACTCTGACTGGCACGTTTCATTGCTCTCTTGAACCACTGAAGTGACTGACTAACACCTACACCACTTGAGACTCCACTCTTCCACCGTAAATACCTTTTTGGTAGTAGGAGTGACTGTTTATTAAAGGGGTAGGGCTGTGCAAAGCTTTGGTTCTTGATTTTGATTTGGCCCAATTCAGTGGCTGAATCTCCAAATCGGAATTGAATCAGGAGACCCTTTAATCCAGGGGCGGGCAATTATTTTGGGTGGAGGGCCACTTACTGAGTTTGGCAAACAATTGAGCACTGCATGATAGGCAGCCAAGGGCAGACAAATATTAATTTTTCTAAATTTTTTTTTTTTAAGGGCCCCACAGGCTGGATAGAATGGCCTGGAGGGCCACATCTAGCCCGCGGACTGCATTTTGCCCACCCCTGCTTTAATCTCTCCGAATTTAATTGGAACCCTCTGAATCGATTCGGACATGGACACAGCTATAAATGTTGTTTTTATATACCTCTGGGCAGCAGGCGGCTTGTGAATGCTGTGATGCTGGGGTGCCTGGTGTATCGCACAGAAGCACGGGGGACTCCCCAGCGTGCTCAGCAGCAGACTTGGAAGTGGACCAGAAGCACTTCTGGTCCATTTCTGGGTCCGCTGGGGAGCGCTCTGAGGTGGGGGGCCCACGCTTCACCAGTTCAGCGACTGGTGCCTCCTGGGTCTGGGGGGTGCACCTGGAGTCCCCCCCACAGCCGATCACTGGGGTGAGGGGGGACCCACCAGCGCACTACCCGGTAGACCAGGAAGCACTTCTGGGTTCGCTGCTGAACACATGGAGGGCCCTCCTGCACTCCTGCGGGACACTCCATCCGCCCCACCATTGCAATAATCGCAAGCCCTGCTGGTACATTGAGGTATGTAGAAAAACCATTTAAAGCTGTGTCTGTGTCCGAATCGTGGATTCTCTGAATCGGCATCAAATCGGGGACAGTGATCTGAATCAATGAATCTAATCGCTGTCCCTGATTTGAGCTGAAATATGAATTGAATAGGGCCTACTTCATATGCCACTATTAAGGGGTTCTTCTCTGTCCCTTTAAGATCTGACCTTGGAGAAGGGAATGGAAGAACTTGAATTCAAGACAGGTCTCTGAGATTGGTAGGGAATTTTGGCTGCTGCCTGGCATGTGAGGTGGTACCAGTGAACCCCAAACCTGAAGACTCTGTAGTGCCCCTAGGGCACCCTCTGTGGGCATTTAGAATTGTACTCTGTGCTCTACACAGCATGCTCCCACTTCCATAGATACTGGTGCTCAGCCCTTCAGTGCTGCAGGCTGGGTGTTGAGTGCCCCTGCATAGTGTAGTATGTATTTGTAACTGGCTCCCTAGGAACTTGTCTGATCCCATGCAGTATTTCTGGGGGCCTCACAAACACCACCCTTGAGACTTTGCCTTTGGAAGCCAGGATGGCAGCTATGGCATGGGGAGGTGAAGTGACTGATTCACGATCCACAGCACAGGATCCCAGATTGTCCAATCCTCAAGTTCCTTACCTCATTTTTCTAGATAAGGTATTCCAATCTTTTTTGTTTTTTCGTTTTCTTTCCTTTTAGGGAAACTTATGTACCTGGTTCACTCACCATACCAGTTGCAGCACTCACTTTTTCTCACTGCCCTATAAGGCACTCTGGATAACTTTATTGCTTAGTTCTGGGAAGGCCTAGACTTATGCTAAGAGCCTTAGCATAACTCAGTTTGCCCACTACACAGACACCTCCCTGTTTTAAACCCATTCCTCTGTTCCATGTCCTGGCTACTGTCACCCAAAATGCGGCATTCAAATTCTGCAGGGAATTTCCTTCCATAAAAGGTTAATTTTTGGTCACTGCTCAGCCAGCCCCTCTGAGCATAATAGCTCCCAGGTGCCACCCCAGCACTGCAGTGAAGGCCTACCAGGTGGGGACATGGCTTCAGGGTCCTTGTGGTGGCTCAGATAAGCTCTGGCTCATCTGCCTCTTGGACAGTCAGCTTGTAGCCCTGTACAGCCCTGCCATTTGACTTCAGAGCCCCCAACACCTGTTACTTTAGGTAGTCAACTGGTTGGAGCCTTGCTCAGCCAGCTGGAATCCTCATGTCTGCTGTATGTGAATTCATGTTGCCCCATTGTCTTTGGTTGCTGGAGCCTGATTTCTAGCTACAGGGTAATGTCTGGTCCTCATGAAATGGGCCATGAACATGGGTGGCAGCATTTGGCCTGTAGACTGCATGGTGTGGTAGTGCTATCTGAATCCCCATTTGTGACTTGTCGGGCAGCTGCTTTCCCCAGTTGACCCAAGGCTGACACACCCTGTGTGCTTTGCCACAGGGAGCCATACCATGATATTCGCTTCAACCTGATGGCAGTGGTGCCTGACCGGAGGATGAAGTATGAGTCTAAACTGCACATCCTGAAGATGAACAGGCAGACTGTCCTGGAGGCCTTGCAGCAGGTAGGAAAGGCAAGACACCAGCATGAATGCAGCTAAAGAGAAGAAAGCAGGGTTTGCTGTCCTTAGTTTTGGGTATCTCCAGGTATTGCAGCGCCCTGTGGTCTCACTCCAGAATGGTGGTGGCTCTGCTTAGCAGACCGTGTCCTAGGTAAGCAGTGCCTTTGATTTCCCTGTGTCCGGGGTCTTAGTACTGGTTTCATGCCTCTTTTCCAGCTGGCCGCTTGTCTTCCCTCTTCCTGCCTAGGCCCACTAGCTGAGGGTAGCTGAGTTTCCATTTAGCCATGTCGTTGAGCCCTTCTAACCTGGTCCCATTTGAGCCAAGTAGCCTGGTGACCTGGTTCCTCAGTGTTGTAAGGCTGGCTGAGATGTGCCAGTTCAGTCCATTTCTATCTAGCACTGAACATAGATTCATAGATGTTAGGGACAGAAGGGACCTCATTATGTCATCGAGTCCAACCCCCTGCCTTGGGCAGGATAGAGTGCTGGGGTCAGATGACCCCAGCTAGATGCTTGTTGTCTCCTCTTGAAGACCCCCAAGGTACGGGAGAGCACCACCTCCCTTGGAAGCCCATTCCAGGTTCTGGCAGTCCTTACTGTGAAGAAGTTCTTTCTAATGTCCAACCTAAATCTGCTCTCCCTCAATTTGTGGCTATTGTTCCTAGTTGCTCCAGGAGGTGCTCTAGTAAATAGAGCATTTCCTATTCCCTGCTGCCCTCCCATGATGAATTTATAGGCAGCCACCAGATCACCTCCCAGCCTTCTCTTGCAAAAGCTGAAGAGATCTAGGTCCTGCAGTTTCTCCTCATAGGGCCTATATGAGTGGCCTCCTCTGAATCATGTTAAAGCAGTTTGATTTGAGGTGCTCCTAGTTCAGTGCTCAGAGACTGCTTGTCGTTTGCTTTCAAGCTAATCCGAGTGACCCAGCCGGAGCTGATTCAAACCCAAAAGTCCCAGGATTCTCAGCCTGCTGAGGAGGCCAAACCAGCAAGCAGCAAGACCTGTTTGGCACTGGAGACTGGCAGGGCACCACTAGCCCCAGAGAGCTCTCACCCAGGTATGGAACCCGCTCCAGAGTTGCATAGAACCATGCAGACAGTTCGGGAGCAACTGCACCCACATGTGGCTTGGCAGCTTGATCATAGAGAACTGTATTTGATAGCGTAGGATTTTGCTGCACAGTATTATAGGATCGTAGAAAATTAGGGCTAGAAAGGGCTTCAGGAAGTCATTAATTCAACTCCCTGCTTAAGGTAGGAGCATCCAAACCATTCCCTATGTGAACCATCCCATACAAGCTCTTGTCTAACCTAGTCTTGGGTCTTGGGAGCGTGTATATAGAGCTGCGGCCTCTCTCGGTCTGTGCCTGGTAGCAGGCAGGCTATGACCTGCGGAATTGGAGGAGAGCAGAGCTTAAGCCGTACTCCTTGTTCTCGTGGTGGAGGTGGGTAGGGTTGGATGAACAGGCAGTTCTGAAGAAGCAGAAGAGTGCAGCTGTTCTCATGGGGTAGTAAGATTGGATGGAGCATCTGGAATCAAAGGGGATGGGGTCTGCCACAGAAGGCTTCATTCTGATGTAAGAGGTATGTGTTGCAGACAGCACTGATGAGTGCACGGCGCAGGGCCACGCCGCATCCACCCAGAGCCCCCCCAACAAGTCCAAGCTAGTCGCAAAGCCTTCTGTGAGCAGCATCAATGGGGTGCCTCCACCGAACCCTAACCCCATTGTGCAGAGACTGCCAGCCTTCCTGGACAACCACAACTATGCCAAGTCACCCATGCAGGTATGTGTAGCCCGGCCCTTCTTCCCAGTCAGGGGAATACAAATGAGCAGAGTTGGGCCTTTTCATTTTTAAGCTGTGTCTTCTAAATGGAGCATGTGGAGAAGAACTTGGAGACTTCCCTTCAGACCTGGTAGCAATTCTGCCAGGAGTCAGGATGGTCTTGTGCCTGATGTGTGGCCTCCCAGGCTCAGTCCCTAGAAGTGCATAGCACTTATCCTGTATTAATTCTAAACAAACTGCGTACACATGGCTGTCTAAACCAAAGAGTGGCACATGCATGGGTGCATACACTTAGATTTTTCTGTTTCCATTAATGGGTTTAAGTATGTATTGTACTTCATCCTGTGGGATCTCCTTGCTGAGTTAACACATTCTGGATTTACGTGTCCTGGTAACTTTGCTGTAAGCATATTTGTCTTTTATATGTGTTTTGTGGGGAAAAGAGAGAGAAAAAAGAAACTCGAGTCCTGGGATCTATACTGATGAGTTGACCCCCATCAGATTTGTAGACTGTTTGTTTGGTTTAGAAATATCCTAGAGAAAGTCCATCAGGAGTCAAAGCAGGGGTAAGGCTGGAGAGCCAACCTTGGCTTGGCTTATCTCCCTGCAGGACAGGGTTTACATGTGTCATGGAGATCACAGAATGAATGAGCGTGGAGCCTGGATCCCTCTTGCCCTTGAAAGGGTTTTCCCTTGTGGGCTGCAGTTAAAAGCACAGCTAAGCAGGGGCTTGCATTCCAAACATTTGTTTAAAAATCTCTTCCCCTTCTGTTTCCGACTGACTGGCTCCTTGCCCAGAACGTGCACTGTTGGCTGAGCCAGGGGCTCGGGCTTCATTAGAATGTCTGGAAAGGGTTAAGTACTAAAATTCCCTGAAAACCTGGAGCTCAGGTTTACTTGACCTGACAGTGCCCAATATTGCTGCAAAAGATGTGGTACGTTTTTCTTGAGGGGTTCTAAGAAAACAGTGCCAGCCCTGAAAGGGAGTGAACTTATTTCAAGAATGCAGTAACCAGGGTAGTCGGCTAGCTGGGAGGATCAGGAGCTACTCTTCAGGACAGTGAGCAGAGCTGGTGCCTTTGTTTGACACAAAAGAAGATAATAGTGGTATGGGCTTGTTTGGAATGAAAATTCTGGCATCACCAGGATTTGGTTAATTGTGGGGGGGGGCACACCTGTGTGTGACTGTGATTGCATCATGATATGGGTGGTGACGGTGATTTGGTTTGTGTATAAGAAACTTGGGAATTCCTGTACCCCTGGTACCTGCTGTCTCTGTTGGGGGTCAGAGGCTGTTTTGATAACAAAGGCCCGACTTGCAGCATTCTTCAGGAAGTGATGACGTGTGTTGCAGGAGGAAGAGGACCTTGCTGCAGGAGTGGGCCGAAACCGCATCCCCATCCGACAGCCCCAGCAGTACTCGGATGATGAGGATGACTATGATGATGAGGAGGAGGAGGAAGTCCGTAACACCAACTCTGCCATGAGGTAGTGGATTGTGCTGAGGGCTTGTGGGGTAGGGGTTGAGGGGAAGGCCTTGCTGGTGTTCTCCACTACTTAAGTGCAGATGACTGTGTGAGGTGTAGAGCACTAGAGAAATGAATCACTAAATAAACCAGGGGTTGGCAATCTATGGCCCCCTGGGCTGGATCCTGCTTGCAGAGAGGTTGGATTCAGTCCAGGAAGGTCTGACCCAGTCCAGAGTAGCACGCATGTTCGGGCAGCACACAGCTTCCCCAAACCACATGGCCCCTCCTAATACCCTCTGGCTGTTCTCACATGTGCTTACCATTGCTATAGAGGGGCCAAGTACCTGCAGTGAGGGAGCCAGTCAGTCACAAACTCTGAGCCAAGGTGACTTACCAGACCCTGAGAGAGAAGGTGCATAATGGCTCTGGTCAGCTGGCCTCCCTTGTTGTGGGAGAGCTGTGAGATGGCAAACTTAACAGTGGGATGGCTCTGTACAGGGGAGGTCCCAAGCCTAGCTGGGTTGGCAGAGCAGGCCCTGGAGGCCACTCGTTCAGCCATGGTCACTGAACCTTTTTGTTTGCTGCTTAATGATATCTTGCCTTGGCTTATCTCACACATACCAATGACAGGGTCAGTTCTTGCAGGCTTCAGCAGGAGGCTGTGCTCTTACAGGCCTGTGGCAGGCATAGGGAACATGGGAAAGCTCCTGAAGAGGCAGGCTGGTACCGGCACTCTTGCTTGGTCCTGTTGGTGGCATAGGGGAGTACTGCTGTGCTTGAAAGCCATTAAGAAGGGGGCGAATGGTCTTGTTGCTTAAATCCAGGACTGAGAGGCTGGCAGGCTAATGCAGACTTGCTGTGGTGTTGGATAGATCATTTGCATGAATGTTTTCAAGTGTCTGCTAACGTTGGGTGCTTCATCCTAGAGCAGAGGTTCCCAATCACTGGGCCATGGCCTGGTACTGGGCTGTTAAGGGTTGGCTGCTGGGTTGTGGCATGAGCCCCCCTGCTCAGACATCCGTCTGTCAGCCCAGGTGAGTGGCTTTTGCCGCCAGCTGTCATGTGCAGGGTTAAAGCGGGGCAGCCCCAGGAGGGAGGCAGCCGGCTTCATGCGCCCCATCCCACTCCAATGCCCCTCTGCAGTATATTTAAAAAAAAAAAAAAAGGTTGGGAACCCCTGTCTTAAAGAGCTGGCTGTGTTGATCCTCCACAGCAGCTGGGGCACTACACCTGGTGCTGCCTGTGGTTCACCTTCTATCCCATGTTCTTGGGCAGGTACAAGAGGAAGGGGCTGGTGAAGCAGGATCATGTCGGGGGGGCAGCAGATGGCCAGCTGTCTGTCCTCCAGCCCAACACCATAAACGTCTTGGCGGAGAAGCTCAAGGAGTCTCAAAAGGATCTCTCCATCCCCCTTTCCATCAAGACTGGCAGTGGGGGTGCTGCTGTGGCTGTCGTCACTCATTCCCAGCCCTCCCCCACACCCAGCAACGAGAGTACGGACACTGCCTCAGAGATAGGGAGTGCCTTCAACTCACCACTGCGTTCTCCCATCCGCTCAGCCAACCCCACCCGGCCCTCAAGCCCTGTCACCTCCCACATCTCCAAGGTGCTCTTTGGGGAGGAGGACAGCCTGCTGCGCGTGGACTGCATGCGTTACAATCGGGCTGTGAGGGACCTGGGTCCCATTATCAGCACGGGCCTGCTGCACCTCACTGAGGACGGGGTGTTCTGCCCATTGGCCATCACAGGTGGGTGCCTGTGGGCAGGGAGAGAGGCCACAGGTGTTCTAGTTGAGTAGGTTGGACGCACGCCTCCCCCACCACTACTGAAGGGCTTTTGCACTGGGGAGGAGGGAAAGGGCTTGGCTGTGCTTTGGCTGGAATAAGCAAGTGGTTACCTGGTGGGCTGCTGGGGTCTGAAATGGATGGGAAGGGGAGGGCAAGTAGCCATCCTTTGGCTACTGAGAATGTGCCTGTCTGTGGCCTGGGAGTTGATGCATCGCTCTAGTTCCTAATGTTTCCTTCTTCGGCATGCCCAGACGGTGGAAAAGGTTCCCTGCCTTCTATCAAACAGAGCGATGAGGCCCACCCTGCTGTTAAACTAGAGGAGAAGGAAGCCAGTGAGCCCAGCGACAGCAAAGAGAAGGCTGGACTCAGCAGGCCAAGTGATCATGTTGGCGGGGAAAAGTATTCTCCCAAAGTGAGTATCTGTGCCCTTTGTGGGAGCTGGTCTATCCAGCCCTTGCCACCGTCCCTTCTCTGTTTGCTGCATGCTGCCAATGGCCTATGGCTGGGGTAGCCAGTTCTGTCTGCAGCCCCTGCATGGTGTTATGGGAGGATTGTGTGCCTAGTAATGGCATTGACCTTTTGGGGCCCAGAGGCTGGTGTCTGGAGTTTGGCAACCACACTTGGCTCCGTGTTGGTCTCCGTATGACCGTTCTGGCCAGGTGGACTCCTTTAGCAGCATAGGTTGTTCAGCTCCCACAATGGGGGCCAGCAGGAGAGCCCTGGACTCTTCCCATTTTGTCTACAGAGCCATGATAGCACTAGCAGCGACAGGCCAGCTTTGCACACTATGCTACTTGAGGAGGCTTGGCATTTCTCTGACAGTGAGGGGTTCTTCTAGCTTGCGGCTTTTTTCAGGAGAGAGTGTGTCTGCTAGGGCCTGAGTGGAGGTCACTAGCTCACATTGTGTAGGGCATCAGAAGCTTCTTGGTTATTACTGCTGTGCTGCAGTGCAGGAGCAGGTGAGCTCCTTGTGCCTCGGGCCATCCTCATGGCCATGTGCTGTGCTGTGCCATGTTGTGCTGTCCTTGCACAGCTCTGTCCTGTGGAGAGCTCCCCTAAGCAAACTCCCTGAGCAGTTTTCAAATGCTTGTAAGCAGCCTGTTACACTGCAGTCACATATAACTTCACTTTCCCTTGTACCTGCCCCCTACTGTGCCCTGCTATACTGCACAGCTGTCTGACTGGGGAAGGAGCTCTTTTCACTGTATTGGATAAGACAGGCCATTGTACCAGCACTCCTTCCTAGAGCCTGCTCTTCCCTGTCTTAGCAGAGAGGGGGTGTATGTGCCAGAGCTGCATGGCTCTGTCTGGCCTGGCATGATGCTGGAATTTGGTTTTGCCCAGAGAGGGCAGTTTCCTTTTGATGCAGAATGAAGCTGAGGCTGTCCAGCATCTTGTATGCAGGTCAAGAGGCCATGTGTGTGTTCAAAAGAGCCCACTGATCACATGCTGGGTGGAAACCCACCTGTCCCCACTGACAAGCATGTGATTTGACTGGTTTTGTTTTCACCCACTTGCACTCCTTCCTGGCTCAGAGAGGCTGTTTAGTTGGAAACCATTGGTTTCCATGAAGCGTTTTGATTCCCACTGAGCCCTGCCAGTGAGGCAGCTGGGCTGCGACAGCAGTGGGTGCTGTCTGCAGCCCTCCCTTCCCTGTGTGCTGCTCTGGCACTGACCTAGCAGGGAGGTGCTGACCAGTGCTCTCTGTTTGGCCCGGCAGGAGCTGCTGGCACTGCTGAAGTGTGTGGAAGCAGAGATTGCCAACTACGAGGCTTGTCTGAAGGAGGAGGTAGAGAAGAGGAAAAAATTCAAGGTGCGCTGGTGTACTGCCTGTGTTTGTCCTGGGAGTCTGCAGCATAAATCCCGTCACGGTGGCATGTGAGAGAGACTTGTTTAGCTGTGGGGGGCAGGTATGGTGAGGGGATGGAGTCAGTCTCTATCAGTCTTCTACTCCAGGCTGGGAAAGCTGCCCCTTGTCCAGCAGCCCAGTCTGGAGTTTTTCCCAGCACAGAATAGTACAACTGAGCTTCGCAGCTAGGCTGAGGCTGATTAATAGAACTGCCCTGCTGGCCCAAGTGCCATTGGTATGTAGGGGACTTTAGGGAGGGGAAAGATGTTGCTTGGCTTCCAGCACAGTTCCTGCTGGGACCTTGGGTGCACTAAGCCCCACAGAATACATGGCTTACCCTGCAAGATGGAATTGGGACAGTCTTGTCTTGTCTTTGAGACAAAATTGACCTTGAATCAGCCATCTTGACTGTCTTTTTCCCTGACATCTCTTAACTGAAAGTTCCAATATGGACAGCAGCTTTAAACTGGGTTCAGTTATTGATTCCATATGTGTTGAAGCCTAAGCATAAGACCCAAACCAGCCAAGAGCTCACATCAGGCTCCTGAGTCTATTGCCTGGAATAGCAGGAGTCTGGACTTGATTATCCAGGTATTCCTTTCCTGTCCCTTGTCCTGTTGATAGGGCTCCAGCCTGGGATGCTTGCTGGGCTGCACTTGTGACTGCTCCTGGAGAGCAGCCTTTCACCTTGAGTTCTCTCTGCCCACCTTCTGTAGATTGATGACCAGAGAAGAACCCACAACTACGATGAATTCATCTGCACCTTCATCTCCATGCTGGCTCAGGAAGGTGAGGCCTGCTGCTTCCAGGCAGTTATGGGTGACTGGTGCCACCTTAGCCAGGGGTGGGGCACATGCCCCCCCCCTCCCCAGCCACCAGATGGGATGGGGGCACCCCTGTGGCCAATCTCGCTGACCGGGGTGGGGGGAGAGTCCTACCCCTATGCAGTGTCACTGCAAGCAGTGGTAGGAAGGTAGGTGAGGAGAGCTGCACATCCAGGATTCACCTTTGTTTCATCACTTCTGGAATGGGTGAGATGCTTTAAATTGGCCCCTGTGGCTTTCTCAAGGCAGAGGCTGGAGTTGCTGAAGGGTTGCCTTGTCTTGCAGTCTGTTCACTGGGAAGGAGCACTTTGTCCTGGGATTGGCTTCCCATAGCTGACACTGCCTCTTTTCAGGCTACGAGCAAATCATGTATAATTGCTAGCATTTTCTTGCAGGTAGAAAAATCCATTGCAGTGGGGGCAAGTGTGTATATTCTGTGGGGTTTGCATTTGTAGTGGGAAGCAGGGGGTGGTTTCTGGAAAGTGAGTACCCTTTGCTCTGAAACCTGAAGACCTGGTTTTTGAATGAGCTGAGATTCTGGTGATTAGAGCATCCAGGTCTCCAGATTAGAAGTAGGTGATGCTAGTTAGGTGAGCTAATGACAAGTTGTAGTGTCAAATGTCCATGTTTCTGGGAGGGAGTCAAGAGACCGGAAAATGGCAGGGTTGTGGGTAGGCAGTTCCTGAGTCAGCTGAGATGCATCTGCTTTCCCCTGCAGGGATGCTGGCCAGCCTTGTGGAGCAGAACATCTCTGTGCGCAGACGGCAGGGAGTCAGCATTGGGCGCCTCCACAAGCAAAGGAAACCAGACCGTCGGAAACGCTCCCGTCCTTACAAAGCCAAGCGCCAGTAGCATCATCCTTGGAGTTGGGGCTGTGAGCAGAACCCTATGCCTGCCTTGCTTGCTTTGGCCAGTGTTGAGATCCAGGCCCTCAAATATCATGGTTCACCCTTGCCCAAGGAAGAGGGACCCGATGCAAATCCATGGCTGGTACCTTCCTGATTGCATCCTTGTTGCTGCATGTAGAGGCAGAGATTGGACTTTCCTCCCAGCCAGGTGCCCTGAGTCTTGAACAAGCCAGAGGTACTCCTAGAGAGTGAGGTCCAGCAGCAGGGCATAGACCCAGGGGGTACAGTCTGTAGTGTTGGCTGCCTAACTTTTGGGTCCACAGAAACACTCAGATCTATGTGGCAAGTGTGTCCCGGGCTGCTTTGCATAACACTTGGCAGCAGGCAGTGGCTTTCTGGCCAAGGACTGAGCCAGAAATCAACTGGGAGAGGAGTGACTTCCACTTCACTGACTTCCAGCCTATGAGGGGACAGGCAGCTGGAGTTGTCTTAACGAGGCCTCCAGTTCCCCAGCAATGCTAGCGTGTGTCCGTGCTGGCCACAGCTGGCTGTGGCTCGTGGTCTTAGGTGTCTGGGCCTTGAGCTCCGTGTCCCCCCCAGACATTCAGATATCTATTTTCTATGTGGCAAATGTTTATTTTTGGTTCTGTCCTTGTTCCCAAGCCTAGCAGCTCCTTGGAGGCCTCACCGTGAGCACTGCTGCTCAGCCTTCCCTATATAGGACCAGGCAGCTGCCCTTACATTAGTTGTGCCAATATGTACTCCTTCCATGTTGGGCTGGGCTCTTCCAAGGTGGCCTTGTGATGCAGAGCTAGTGCCCTTCCATGGAGCGGGAGATTCCTAGGGCCTGGCTCAGTCCCATCTCCCCCCTTCCTACTGTGGTTGCCATCCCCAGGTGAGTGCAGAGCAGGTTTCTCCATGACGTGACCTCCAGTGCTCACTCTGCCCCTTTCTCACCATGTGGCTCAGTACGGCTGTGCCTGCCTAGTTGTGGCTTTCCTGCACTGGTCTGAGCAGCTGTGTGACCTGTTGTAGGACTGCCTCAGGCAGGACATAGTGGTCTCAGAGACTACTGCCCACTTCCTTTTCTGTAGAGGCCAGTGCTGCTGCTCAGGCTCCGTGAGGCTGGAGGGACAAGAATGTGTTCATAGCTTCAGGAGATCCAAATGAGACATGAGGCACTTGGGTAGGGGCACAAGCCCACTCCCTTTGGGCTCAGCAGGTCTGTTTCCAAAGGACTAAGGCTCTAGGGAAGCTTTTGAAAGGGGCCTGGGAAGGAATAGTCTGTTGCACTCACTGCAGGCCTGGACACATTGTTTCTGTGTCTGTTCCCAGGGGGTATGTGTATTCCAGCATAAGGGGTGGCTTTCCCCAGAAACTACAGCTGTGTGGCTGAGGAGAGGAGGAAACAGCAGGAAGAGGTAGGGACCAAAGTGGGGCTCACAGCTGCCCAGGGCTGAAATGGCATTGTGTTCATCTTTTTGTTTTGATTTTTTTTTTTTTTTTGGTTTGTGTTTTT